ATATATATATATATATATATATATATATATATATACTAGATGGATAGTACACAGTTTTGGTCTTCTGAGAGTGATGCTTTAGTGTCCGAAAGCCTCTTCTATTGGTCGATAGTTGTTCCACCCCCAAAGGGATACTTGTACCGTTACTGTCTCTAAATGGACTCTCTTAAACATAGAATGAGCATTCATGCCGGAAAATGAGGCAGTGCATACGTTTTCAAGGTGTTACATTATGGTTTTTATTTCTGATACCCTAACGAGAAAGTTTTAATCATTCTTCTGCCATATTTCTTTATTTCATCGTTAAGAGCAATTTATGGATGCCGACGTGTCTGGTTGCCACTGCTGCGCGTTATTTGCTTAATTGCGATAAGAAGAGAGCGTCAGACGCAAATACTTTTCATCAAATATGAGCTGGTGACATTACCCTTTTGTTATTTTACAACCATTACACCGCTTAGTTGCTATTTATAGAACACAATTGATGAATGAGTCTTTCACTTTTTTTTTGTAATAATAATCTGGAATCTGAATATTTTTCGGGAGTAACATGACGTATGGCAATGCTTTCATGTGCTACATTCTGATTAGCATCATTTCGGTGTAATGGCCACAAGCAGCCAGTGGGGGCAGGTTTCTACAAGTATTAAGCGGTATCATGAATCCACTTGTCGATTGCGAGCAACATTTTTTTTTTTAGGATAATGGAAGGCGGTGGGTTGGACTTGTGTGTATTAATTCTGTTGCTAATGTAGAGAGGTGTTCTTCCGCTTTTCTTCCTTACTTCCTAACGAATTATATACCCCTGAACGAGATGATGTACAAGATGATTTTAAATAAGTCTCTTGAAGGACCTTTACAACATTCCTAAACGCAAGCGAATGAATACCAATGATATTTTCGGCAGATTACTTCCCTCAAATTACCTCTCCAGTTTAGTCATATTCATAGTTCTTTTTACCTTTTTATTATTATTTTTCAATAATTCGTCACTATTTCATTATTTTAAAAAGTATATTCTCCCACTGCTAACTTTTATGAGTTGACTTTCATTTGATTATTTCCATTACCAAAGGATTCTGAATGATCATTTTATATATCTTAATGCATATTCATACCCCTTTTCCACATTATCTACGTTAATTAATATATATATATATATATATATATATATTATGAGGTTGTAGTATAAAGCTTTAAAAAGGTGGAATAATATGTTTTCTAATAGTAAGAATGTCCAATTGGTACCGCTTCTTGAAGCGGTTAGCGCATATCAAACTAAAGGTGTTGGCGTAGATATGTCTATTAAGTCCGTGCTTGGTATTATCAGGTTGCTAGGACTTTACAGCAAGGACACCGTTTTGAAGCAACAGTATGAACAAATGGCAGATGTTATGGTTGAATGCCGCATGCTCTGCAACTTTGCCCGCATGTGGATTACAATGCGCCAGTTATTACAAACTTACCGTCTTCGGTGTCGCATGGGAGCTATTTATAATTTGTTTTTGTGTCTTTCACATCTTTTCCGTATTCCAGAGCAGGGGTTTGGCGATTTGAGTTACCTACAAAAAGTAGTATTTCACCATTGGAGCAGACAGCGGTTATCATTCTTCTATCGATTCTTTAAGTCCTTTTCTCTGAGCTGCTGCCTCATCGCAGAGATCGCTCATCATCGAAGTATTCAACAGCAAATCTCCGAGACCACAAATCCGGAGAAGCGCATCCGTTACAAAAAGGATCTGAACGTATGTAACGCCATCGCTGTGCGTAGCCTCTGTGATATGTATGTGTATTTCAAGTGGATCCCGGGTTACACTCCAATCCCCACTTTAGAATACATCTTCGGATCTATTTCAGGTATGATTGGCGTATGGCTTGTATGGAAAGATATTCGATCCACTTGCTTTTGTCCATCACAGCCGAAGAGAAATATACAAGGCTGTACTAAATCATCATCTGATGCGCTAGAAACGATGTTAGTTGCTAGTATTGATCCAAGCGGCGCTGAAGCCTAGAGAGGGGAGAGTTTGAAAAATTATTATTAACAACTAAATTAACGCATAGTAATATCTGTATAAATAAATAAGCGTTATTAATATATTGGCCACTTTGTAATCTAAGAAATTAAATATTCCTTTTTTCTTAATACTGTTAGAATACAGAAGATAATATTTACGTATTTGTATCCATTAAAGATTCACAAAAAACGGGGAGAAGAACATAGAAATAATATAAAAATAAAAATTGCACAATTAATTTCAATGTTTAGTTGAAACGTGAGCGTGCAAATTTCGAGGAGGGTGTGAGCGGCTGGAGGGCCGAAACCTATTCGTCTGATAAAGTAAACTCATTAAATGAATTCAGGGATTATATATCACACATGTGATATAGTCGCTGAATTGGATAACCTACTCTGTAAAAGGTTTAAAAAAGAAAGAAAGGATGAGTAACTTAAAGTATTTCAGTTTAGCACATAGCTAGGATTTCTTATTTTTGTTTTTTTTCATTTTTCTCTGCTTTTGTGTTCGTTGAATTTTAATGAGAGTAAATATATTTCGGTTTGACGCAAATCATAAAAAAAGAACAATATAACTAAAGTTGCGTGTCAGAACGCATAGACTATGCTATGGTTCCTTTATTGTTGCTAATGGAAAGTACTAAATTCATATGTAAGGACTTTTCATTTATGTTAAAAGAATATAAAAGTTGAGAGTTCATATCAAAAATACATCAGTGTTTTCTAGCAGCACAGAAGTAATGATTGCTGTTTGAGAATTATTATTATTCCAATAACTCCTTATTTAATTATACATTAATCCATTTCAGGGGTGGATATGTTTTTATTTTTATATCGTGTTTAGTCCCTGTGTATTTAGTACTAAATGTTACTACAAAAAATCTCCATACGCATTTTGTTCAATTCAATAGAAGAATACTGAAAGCAAAAGTAAGATATGGAGTTGAAACCTTTGACGTTATTTATTTATTGTAACGTATTATATTTTCCTTCTTTTCTCTCTGCGTTTCCGTTTTAATTATCTTTTCCTCCTTTTGAATTCAGCAAATTAAACATTTTAGGTAGTCTGTTCCTTTTGACTTAGCCTTGTTTAACCTTTAGCAACTACTTCTGTAGTTGTCATTTGCACGTGTTGGGACTTTCTTTTGATTGGCATTTATATTGCAGCGTTGTTTCTACCATTTATTTTGGGACGAATCTACGCGTGCCTGAATCGGTAATAACTACGGCACTCAGATAAGGGAACTTAGCAGGAAAAAAGCGACGACTATATGAAAGAGGACTCCACACATCCGTTAATCGCCCAGCTGCGTCCGATTTTTGTAGAACTAAAGAATAGCACTTCTCAAACACTAGATTCTGTCATTTTTAAATTAGATTACATTATTGAAGAAGAGAAGGACGCCTTGTTTCATCGGAATGCCATAAAGTCGTCCCCAGGCTCTAGCGCCAAAGTGTTATTTAATTGGATTAATCAGCAAATCCGTGAGCTGTTTGAGAAAGCAGATACAGAGCGAGCTGGGGTTCGTGTTCTCAATGCACTTCTTAACGTTGAGTATATAGAGATAAGTGAGAAAACAAAGTTTTTCTCTGAATTGCTTGTTCACTTAGTGCTGGACACAGACGACGTCGTGGCAGCAGAAGAAGCGGCACAGGTATGGGGCCAGTTGCTAACTAATGGTTCTAGCGTTACAGAAGGTATCATCGCAAACAGTCTCAACTTTTCCATGACTTTGCTCTTTCTCACAGGATGGAATTCCGATTTTCTGAAAAAGAATCCACTTCATATAGACGTTTTTGATAAGGGCAGGCATAATTTAAGTAATGAGGACCAATTTGCAGATTCATCCAAGTACACTAAACTGTCAGGATGTTTATTAATCGACCAGCTTTTATGTTCTGTACCGTCAGCCACCATATCGTATTTGCATATTATATTAAATGGTCTGCGTTGTACTCTTATTGATAGTCAAAGGATTGTTCGTTTGCGTGCTGCTGACATGCTTTACAATGCACTGCACGTTACCTATCGTTCTACTGATCCTGCCTTCTATCATCGTTGGCAGGACGTCTTACTAAATGATGTTTTAAATGGGATCACATATGACACAGGCAATATCCTACATGGTGCTTTTTTATCTTTTAATACCATTTTGGCCTCCATCACCATATGCGAAGGAGATCGAGTTGTAAATTTTACGAAACATGGTGCTTATGTTGTTCAGCAAGTGTGGCACTTTATCAACCAACACATCGTTCCCATGTCATTTTCGCAAGACATTCGTAAGGCCATGTTCGATACGTTGCCTCGTTTGGCGAAGTATAACATTGAATTGTTCAAGGAATTAACGTTATCAAAGGTTCAGGAAGTAGCAGAAGTATATTTCACTTCGACTGATGTAGCATTGACCGACGAGCGTCCAATGCTTTTCCGTACTATTAACAAACTCATTGTAGTGAAACCGACAACAGTACTATCGTTTCTGGACCGCTTAGTGGCGTATATTGAGATGTCTCTTGTAAAGCGACCTAATCGTGATCGTTGTGAGGAGGCGGTTTCTTGCTTTGCAATCATGTCAGAAGCAGCGCCAAATGCCGTTAGGCCCTTTTTACGGTATATTCTTGCTCCTCTATTTGCTGGCATCATTACAATAAGGTTCACTCTAGATATTGCTAAAATTTGCACAGCTTTCCCCGAGTTGCGTTCAACTTGTCTATCTAAAATGCTAGAGGCTACTAAGTTACAGCTTAAAACTGCATACCTTTGCCAGTCGACTACTTGTCGCAATAAGGGATCCGTCCCAGTGGATGACACATTACAGTGTATTTTAGAAAATTTGAAGGCACTTGGCAGCTTGGATTTTACAGGTTATTCCACTCTGCAGTTTTTATCAGATTCTGTGTTGCGTTACGTGTCTAACCCACATGATGAAGTGCGCCGTGCTGCCATTGATCTTTGTTTTAGACTTGTTCTATCTGGTTGTAGTCACTCCCCATGCGTACGTGCTGAGGAAAATTATATTATTCACCGGGGTCGTGAACACATACGCTTAATTAATACTGTTATCAAACGACTTGTTAATGCTGCAGTGGCTGATCCTGAGAGTGACATTCGTCTATACACGCTTAACCGCTTTACAGAAGAATACGATACTACCCTTGCCTTGCAAGATATCGCTAGTTCCTTGTTTCCTGCGCTTCAGGATAAATATCAGAACCGCATCGCCGCGGTACGCCTGCTTGGCCGTATATCGTGGCGCAATCCAGCGTGTGTGTATCCCATGCTCCGCCGTGTGGTGGTGCAATGTATCACAGATATTCAACTATTCCACGTTATCAAAAAGCAAGAGCAGGCTACAGCGATTCTCAGTGTTGTTGTGGAATCAGCTTCCGATATGATCCGCCCGTACTTGTCAACGTTGTTGCATGATTGTGTGAAGAGATTACAGGAACGCGACCAACCAGTGTCTGTTCAGACGGTGCTTCTTTCCTGTTTGGGAAAGTTGGCGCGTTATTCAGAGGGTGCGGATGCGGACGTTGTGGCAGCTATTCGTTCTGTTGTTGTGGAGCATATTTTAGATTCGTCTAACATTCATAAGAAGCAAGAAGCAATTCGTGCTTTAGTCGATATTATACGTACAACAAAAGAAGTTAATGTGTACGAGTCCCATTCAGAGCTACTTCCTGTTCTTCTCTCTGCATTGCATGGCGGTTTTAAGGAAACGTGGCCAGTGCGTTTAGATGTACTGAAGCTCATGGGTGTCATTGGCGCAGTAGGACCTGTGCGTGTGAAGAAGATAACACGGTGCCTACGGGATAACGGTATGGTGGGATCAAGTCCTAGTGAGGCTCTTTTGCCCTTAAATGGCAGCCGCGACGAGGACGCCATCGCGCAAAGTGTAGTCAAAAATGTTCTTAACGTACTTCAACTTCCCTCCCTTTCAGATGATCAATGCATGTGTGGAGTGCAAGTTATTGCAAACGTTCTATCTGTTAAGGAGTCCGTTGGCGACAGTCTAGTTCCATTTCATCGTGACATCATCTCCACTATCCTCTACCACGTGTGTAACCAACCGAAGGTCCGAGACCGACTCTTAAATGTTCTAGCTCGCATTGTGTACTTGATGGGGCAACACATTCGGCCTTATTCCGGCATGCTCCTCTCTACAGTTGTTAGTTTTTTACCTTCTGCTGAGACACCAGTGTTAATGGAAGTTCTTTGTCTGGCAAGTGAGCTGCGGTGGTCTCTCAAGAAGGAGTTTCGTCCACACTTGTCTAATTTGTTGCCTCCACTTCTTATTACTTTACAAGCTGATCCAGTGAACTCCGGGGAGCCCATTTTTGCCTTTTTGATCGAGATGAGCACACTTTTGGACAGCCACTTACACAATGTTTTACCTTGTGTGTGTGATGTGGCGATTAATTCAAGCTACCCTGCTTCGTGCCGCATTGCAGCTGTGGATGCACTCCGTCATTTTGCTAAAAGGCTGCCCCACTTAGCCTTTCATGCCACCCGTGTTATTCACTGTTTGTGTCGCGTATTGAAAGATTTGGAGGAAGTGGCCATGAAGCAGACTAACTCAAGCGCGGCACACTTTCACAATAGAATCCGAAGTATCGATACTTTACACGTACACGATCCCATTTTTAACTGTTTAGTTGAAGTAACTCTTGATGCATTGAGCGATGTGGCACGAAACTTGGGCAGTGACTTTGCCAAGTACATTCCCATGGTATTTCTTGTTCTAGAGATGTATGGAAGTGATGGCGAGGAGGTGAAATGCTTTATTTCCTCAGTGGTTCGTGGTGGAGGGCGCGTTCTAGCCTCGGATGTCCAGCGCTCGGCTGAAGAAGCATCTGAGCGTCACAGGACTAATTATCCTTCCCAACGATGCAAGTCCGGGGATGCTTTTGCTTCGCTGCTCACTGTGCTTAGCGTTCGTGACCGAGAAACGGAGGAGGATTGGAATTTGTGGCTAAAACAGATGGCAGTGGAGCTACTTCGCTCCAGCCCAGCCCTCTCGCATGGGTTTGCATGTCCTTTGGCGCAGATACATGAGCCTTTTGCGCGCCACATGTTGCACTCCGCTTTTGCAGTATGCTTTGGTGAAATGGATAATGATACTCGTGAGACAGTGATCAAGATGCTTGGGAATGTGCTACGCAGTGAGCGAGTCCCATCGGAGGTGCTCCAGGGGCTTCTAAATCTTTCAGAATATATGGAACGAGTTGAAATGCGTTTTAACCCGAGGCAAGGTTCACAAGGAGCATATCAGGGTCCCTTATTTGACCTTAAGACGCTCATGGACAGCAGCGAGCGATGCAATTTGTTCGCTAAAGCGCTTCACTACGTTGAGATTGAATTCTACAAAACTACTTATGAATATGAACTAAGTGTCATGCGAGGGCTACCCAAGCCACTTCCGCCTGAGAAGTGGAGCAGTTTGATCCAGTTGTGTGAAAAAAGTATATATCTTTGCAACCTTCTCGGGCAACGTGAAAGTGCAGAAGGGATGCTGAAATACATTCAAAACAATTTTTCTTTTTTGACTGGCCGTGGAGAAGCTGAGTTACCACGTATTATGGACGCGCAGCTTTTTGAGAAATTGCAGTGGTGGACCCAGAGTCTCCGGGCATATGAAGAGGGGTTGATCAAAGAGCCAAATACACTATCAAGTATGTCGGGGCTCATGCGGTCGTTAGATAATTTAGGTGACTCAGGTAGGTTGATGGAGTCATGGAAGTGTTTTCTTCCGCGTGTGGGTCGGAAAGACGCGGCCGAACTTGCGCCGTACGGGGCCCGCGCAGCTTGGTTGCTGCGGCGCTGGGACGATATGGCTAAAATCACCGAGTACATAACAGACGAAGGCTATGTGGGTACAACAGCAGTTTTCTATCGTGCTGTTTTGGCCACTTACCGTAAGCAGTTTCGTGAAGCCGAACGACTCATCGAGTTGTGTCGTAAGCGTCTTGACTCAACTCTTTCAGCACTAGTTGCGGAGAGCTACGACCGTGCTTATGGGCCTTTTGTCGGTATTCAGCAACTGAGCGAACTGGAGGAATTTGCTTTTGTTGCCCGCAACTCCAAAGAGCTGAATCATTGGCAGAAGCTTTGGGAAAAACGTCTGAGTGTTATGGGGTATTCAGGATGGGCTGGTACCATAGCGAATCATACCCTTGTGATCCCACCCCAGCAGGAGTTGGATATGTGGCTCTGTTTTGCATCTCTTTCGCGCTTGCATGGGCGTAAGCAAACTTCAAGTGAGGTCTTATATGAATTACTTGGTTCTCAGACAATTAATAATGCTTTGAACCAACAGACACCTCCGAACCCGGCAATCGCTCTCGCAGCGTTCCAACATCTTTACGATACCCAACAACGAGATCAGGCGATAGAACTGTTGAGTTCATATTTAGAAAGAATTGAAAGCCTAGATGAGGCGTTGTACCTCGACGGCAAGGAAAGGAGCTTAGCGTTGTCCTACTCCAAGCTCGCTGATTGGCTTTTGGTAAAGAGGAAAAACCAACTTGTCGACGGTATTCATTCTCATGTTTGCGACAAAGTTGCCAATCATTTATTGAGAGCTACAAGCTTGGATGCACAGAACGGCGCTATTTGGCACTCCTGGGCGCGTTTCCACCATAGCCTTGTGACTAAAAAGCATCACAACACGGACATCAAGCAAGATGAATTCATTGAAAACATTATCTCCGCTGTTGACGGATACATCCGTAGTATTTGCCTCTCACAAGAACTGGAAGATGTCTTGGGTTTCTTGTCATTGTGGTTCATGCATGCATCGCTACCGCAAGTTCGAAACAGCAATACTCTTCAGTCTGGAATCGTTCAAATTACCCCGCGTGTGTGGCTCAAGGTCATTCCCCAAATTATTGCTCGACTGCATTCACGTGATGTTGTGGTGTCAGACTCGGTTCATCGGCTGTTGGTCATTATCGCAAAATCTCACCCACAGGCCCTTTTGTATAGTTTAAATTTCACAAACAGGATAGGTCAGGGCGCAGGTCCTGAACAAATGGAGCGCAGAAGGGCTGCGCAAAGAATACTCTCCCGAATTGTAGAGCTGCATCATAATGGGTCTACCATGGTTCATGACGCTGCGCTTGTTTGCCAGGAGCTTGTGCGCTGCGCTGTGGGTTGGATCGAGCTATGGTTCGATGAATTAGAACGGGCATGGCACCAGTGGGGGCGTGATAGGAATCCCAATAACGTGTTAATGACACTCAAGCCTCTACTGGATCAACTTAAATCCCCCCAAACATTGGCTGAGTCCCATTTTGTCGCAGAATTCGGAGAATTTTTGTATGGGGCATATGAGGCCGTAGAGAAGGCAGCATCGCTGGGCAACTGCATTTTCATGGAGGAGGCTTGGAGCCGCTTTAAGGTTGCCGTGAAGAGGATGGACGACCAGATTAGCAATATGACTTCTTTGGCCTTACAACTGGTAAGTCCCAATCTTCTCCATGACGGTAAGAATTTGTCTCTTGTCGTGCCTGGTCAATATAATGAAAACGGGCACTATCCACGTATTGCTTTATTTCAGAGCACTCTCAAAGTAATGAACTCAAAACAGCACCCAAGGCGTCTGTATCTAAACGGAACTGATGGTGTCGTTTACAAGTTTCTCTTAAAAGGGCATGAAGACCTTCGTTTGGATGAGCGTATTATGCAATTGCTCGACTTTGTCAACACGCTGTTCGAAAAACATTCCACCATTCAACAACAGAATTGCATGATTCAAGTATATTCGGTGACACCACTCAGTGATAATGCTGGTCTCGTTGGTTGGGTTGACAACTGTGATACTCTGCATCAACTCATAAAAGCGCACCGTGTCCACTCTAGACATCTTTCTCGCGAGATTAATCTGATGCTTAGCTATGGTGTAGATCTTGACCGCTTGACATGCATTCAACATGTTGAACCCTTTGAATTTGCTTTAGAAAATACAGAGGGCAATGATCTCATGAATTCACTTTGGATGCGAGCCCCCAGTGCTGAATCTTGGCTTGACAGACGTACTACTTACGTCAGTTCGCTTGCCACTATGTCCATGGTAGGACATATTCTGGGATTGGGTGACCGCCACCCGTCCAATCTCATGGTTCACACTTTTAGTGGGCGTGTAGTGCATATTGACTTTGGTGATTGTTTCGAAGTTGCACAAACGCGCAACACTTTTCCTGAAAAGGTTCCCTTTCGTCTTACCCGAATGTTGATAAAAGCGATGGAGATGGGCGGGATTGATGGCATTTTTCGACACGGATGCATTGCTGTCATGAGCATGTTAAGAGAGGAGGGAAGCAGCATATTGGCACTGCTGGAGGCTTTTGTTCATGATCCATTAGTCTCGTGGTGGAGAGACGAATCCACCGAGAGCGACTTGCATTACTCCAAAGTGAGTGTTCAGGAAAACCATTCTCAAATTAGTGCTTACTCAGCTTTGGGAGAATCCTTCAAGCGATATTCAGCTGACTATAAGGGGTGTGGCGGTAGTTTGAATCGATGCCCCGTGCGCCAGGTGAGCATGCCTTCTAGATCGGTTTGCGTGGGATCATTGACACCTGCCAACACTGCAATTAGTAAGCATTCTTCGGTAAACGACAGTGGTGACTCACGGCATCAGCAGACATCAAAAGCTCAGAAGGTGGTACATCGTATCCAACAGAAATTAGAAGGTCGTGACTTTCCAGAGCTCTTCTCGAAACGATATGGTGGGTCAATGTATGATGGCGGGCTCTCTGTTAAATCTCAGGTGGCCCGATTAATTGAAGAAGCAAAATCGAATGAGAACCTGTGTCAGCATTTCCAAGGTTGGTGCCCATTTTGGTAACAAACAAACAGAGTATGGTAACCGGTTTCATGAACTCTATTCACGCTTGTGTACACCTATATATATTTTTTCTACAATATTCTGTGTTCAAAAGAACTCTCCCATACTCTTTCCATAGTAAAACGAAAGGAACAAAATTGTGAATAAATCGTATAATTACGATATAAAGCTTTTGATACTTGACATTGAATTCATAATACAAAGGCGTGGGGTGTTATAATGTTGTCCACTCGATTTTATGGTCTTCAATTTTTCAATTATTTCTATTAATCATGTGAGGATCACACTCCTAAGAGCCAAATACAATACACCATGCCTGAAACATCCACATTTCGAGATTTCCTTTCAGATCCCTCAAAAATTCTTGTTCTTGATGGTGGCCTGGGAACTGATCTGGAGGTCTTAACCGACGAGACTGACCATCCTCTATGGTCGTGCAATGCTATTATAAACTCACCAGATCTCATTACCAGGCTTCATGAATCGTATCTGGAAGCTGGCGCTCACTGTATCATCACAAACAGTTATCAAGCCACAACGTATGGACTGGCAAAGTATCGTAATATGTCTCAAGAGGAGGCCGTCAAAGTGATTGCGAAGTCGGTTGATGTGGCTCACGAAGCAAGGCGCCGCTTTTTGGCCACTCATGGAGAAGCAGCACCCATTTTTGTGGCAGGTTCGGTAGGATCGTATGGTGCTTATTTGGCAGATAAATCGGAATACGATGGCAGTTACGCTCATAGCGTTTCTGTAGAAACTTTTAAAGATTTTCATCGGCCACGCATTGCCACGTTAATAAAGTCTGGTGTTGATGCTCTAGCAGTAGAGACTCAACCATGTGCAGATGAAGTACTGGCAATTGTGGATTTATTGGAAAAAGAATTCCCTTTGATACCCGCTTGGATAAGCTTTACTCTAAATACCAAGCATCTTGACACTCAAATTGCCGATGGCACTAAGTTTGAGGATATTTTACCAGTACTCGATGCATCGAATGTGGTTGTTGCCATCGGTATAAACTGTGTGCCATTTCATTGTGTCACATCTGTATTAGGGAAAATGTCATCTCTAACGACAAAACCTCTGATAGTGTATCCCAACGCTCCCGGTGCCTATGACAATGCCACTAAAAGTTGGGTAAAGCCTGATGTATTCAATAAACTTGAAGATACACTGGCGGGAAAGTGTGAAGCTTGGATACGCAATGGGGCACGCTTGATAGGTGGATGTTGTCATACCGATAAAGCTGCCATTCAAGATTTATCACACAAACTCAGCAATCCTTTTCAATAAATATTGTTAATACAAATTGTCTGAGTGAGCTTTAGTGCAGACGGTGGATATATATGCGCCGTTGACCTTGATTTCACCGATGGATTAAGCATTAAAATTCTATAATCATAATGAATCATCTTAAACTCATGGTCATAATATTGGAAAATAAAAAATCGTGACACATTAAAGACAATACATAAACCATGAATAAACGTTGAGCCATATTTAAAGTAAAAGTAAAATACATGAAAGATTGTGCAATTTTCATGATTAATAAATATTTGTTTAAAATAGGTCGTATACAGAGACGATTATATAGAGTTGAATTGAACCAATAGTCAGATAGGTGTTTAAAGTTCCTTAATTACGAAGTCAAATAATCAATAAAGTACTTTGAGACTAAATATAATTGGAAGATTCAAAGCCTTGATATTATTTGATTTTAATTCCTATAGATATCCTCGTTTTGATCACATTTGTATGTGTGCACATACATCCGCATATCTAGTGAA